ACGACATAGAGATACTGTCGAACGAACGCGCGTTCCAGCAGTTAAGGGTGTCGGTGGAGCAAGCGTTTTCACCCCTAGCCCCTGGCGCATACGTATTCGACGTGGCGCCTTTGCCAAACAACGATTCTTTATCGACCAAGTCCGTGGCACTCGAAGTGCTGGTCGGAACGACGGCGAAGTTGTCGCCTGAACTAGACCGATTCCGAGACCACGTTTCGCGCAACCCTCGGATGTGTATCCAAAATAGACTGATCGCATTCGACCGTCATTTCCGGCCATTTTTCAAGGTGAGATCATTTTATTTTAACCCGTCTATGATTTTCGCTTCTAGTGGCCGATGTTTTAGGTCGACTGGTGTCGATTTGACCTTCGGAACCTGTCACACACAAACTCCCACCGGTTCCCACAAACACCGCTGATGAAGTTTGATTTTGGCCTCCTCGAAACTCGCCGTCTTCAGACAGCCACTAAACTTCGACCGTCGTTCAGCGAGGCAGTGCTGACCATCGAAACGCCGAGGAGAATCGTGTTTGCCAGCTTCAAAACTCGAAGGTCGTTTTTTGGTGATTGGGTGATGTTCATCGCTATACCATCGGTTTTACTGCTCGTTGGCGTGCTGGCGTTGAGCACCTTCTTGTTCGGCTGCAGAGAGGGCCAGCACTGGCGTGACTACAAAACTCCGAGGTAAAGTTGTTGAAATTTTTACTTCATTCGTTTATTGGTGTATTGTAAATGCCTGTTGTTCCTTTCTGGCACAGCAATGTAACACCAGCTTCAGAAGGTGTTTGTCGAAAGGTCTCGATCCTTCGTCAAATTGGTAAGCTCTGTTTACTAATATCAGAGGAAGGCAGTTTTAGGGACTCGTTATAACCGAGTCATCACCTTTCAGATTTACTTTTTGCTGTCTTTCGTGTGGCTTTCGCAGGGAGTATGCAATGCTGGTCACTTCTCTGGCCTTCTAACTGCATTGCCAAACCAACGCTATTGCATTCTACTTATCCAACGAAGCCTGGTACGCACGTATTCAATCAGTTGTAAGCAAATGTTGCTAAGCTTCGTTTGAGGAGAAGCGACGGAGAATGCTTCAGTGAATAAAAAATTCTCTTCGCACGCATTTCACCACTTCATATCTCTGCAGTAGGGCTCACCTTTCGTTGCTTGATCTGGTAGGCCCTATGTCGTTCAATGCCTTAGTACGATCATTAACACAAACAAGCCTTCGAAATGCGTGCTCGTTCTCGTAATGATATACCCTTGGGCATGCCATTGATTTAGCGGTTTCTCAAGAACTCGTATACAGTAGAACATTCTCAATAGTAGCTTTAATTCAATCGCTGGGTTCACGTGTTTCGACAGAGTCGAAGTTGAAATATATGTGATAGCCTTGGTGTACAACCGTTACTTGTTCAAAATGCAAAGTCATAATTCTGATGATTTAAGCAAGTATTGCAAATGCTTCCAGAAACGAAGGCGAGGCTACTTTTTTGACCGATAGCCCGAAAATCCTAGAAATGTTTAAGAGTGATTTGGGGCAGGTGCTTCGATGGACTCAGGCTTTTTTTGCGGAAGCTCAGACGTTGCCACAGGATAAGCAACGCTGGAGTCACTGTGGGACACTGTTTCTTCCTTGCGAAGAACTGACGCTTGTCTGCAGTATGACAGACTCTTCCAGTTTCTGTGGCGAATGTCAGCAACTAGGCTGACTCGCTAATGTGTTTCTGTGAATGCAGATATCAGGATCTATAGTCCCAGTTTAAGCAACTTTCTTCGAAATCCATACAACTGCAACGTTACCTTAATTTGTTTAATATAACATAGTTCTCTTTCATTATGCAAATATTAACTCTTCTTTGTGTTTCCTAGATCACCAGTTGTCCATTTTTGGATTTTTATATTACCTCTAAGCGTCAAAGCGTTATTCTACGGTGTTCGTGTTACCATTCAGGGCGTTAATCCTCCATACCGGTTCACTGATGGTCTGAAACTGATTCACTTTCCAACCCAAGCCGGAAACATCTGGTTTTTACCACATTAACTTCTAAGTCTTAGCTTACTGCGTAAATTAATCATTCTGGAAAAGGCAAAGGCTTAGGCACAGAGGTAGGCTTGGCGGTGATCTGATAAAACCGAAGTATTGGCTAATTAGAGTATAACTCGAATTAGTTTCAGCCATAAGGGTATGAGTGGATTACTGATTTCGACTGTAACAAAACGTGCACTCTTTTCGTTAGGCAGTTCTTTTCCGTTTTACTGAGAAATTCTTCCATGATCTCGTATATTCTTTAATCTGGGCCAGACTGATATTCGAGGATATCGTGAACTATGGTGTTCTGAAATTTTCCAGCCTCGCTACCTCAGTATTCTTTCGAAGAAATCTCATTTCTGCAGGTTTTATCCGGGACCGTACCCTATCAGTAGCTACAGATAGCTTCACACACTGGCTCAACTCCTCCTTCATCTGTGCGCCATTTAATGTTAGAGCCCAGTGAGCGCATCGAGACAAGACAAACATGAGGAAATAATCTTGAAGCAACATATGACTCGTCTAACCCATCGAGTTATGACATTTTCAGTGCCTAGGTTGCATTTGCCTACCGTTTAGAATTTGTTACTATATGGTTGTGTGAAACGAATAATCTGTTCATTTGATTGCTCTTAAAATAGGCAGACCCTTTTTCTGCAGGGAATCATGGAAGCGAAAAATTCGTAATCTTGTTTGCAATCATCTCAGTCCTTTATAAAAAGGAAGGTTACACGGGTTTGGATTCTAAGAAAAGACAGTACTACACATTGAATATACAAGAACCACTTGGCATTCCTTCTGCCCTTTGGCACTGCGTGCACAAGTCCCCTCCGAGACCCTGATCATGTATAAAATTCTCTACATTTATTTTCTTGCTATTCGGTTTGTTTATTAAGGGTTTTATTTAGGCAGCAATTGTTCGAGTACATGAATCTACGACAGAGTCAAAAGCTGCTTCAGCAACGGCTATTGAATTTTTCCTCTATGAACACTAGTACCGCCTCTGATCTCCCAAAAACGAGCGACGGCAGTGCCCCCAGGGTTGGAAAAGAAACCGTCGAAGAAGCAGCTTCTGCAAAAAGCAGCACGTCATGAAGTTAATCAGTTGATCTATGCGCAAACCATTGGTTTTTATGCCACACTTATATTTTACACAAAAAGTAGGAAAATTCAGAGCCAATTGATTTTTTTTGAGTTTTAGTGTTTATCAAAGATTTTAGCTTAAATGGAATATTATTACTTTAACATTTATAGCTATTGATTTTTGTAGTCTTCAAATGCTGAAATTTAGCAGTAATTTTTCCAAGTTATAAATGTTAGTAAATGTCATATTGCATATGCGCAGCAAATAAAATAGTTTCATTAAGTTGACCAGCTATATAAACTGGAAAGGATAAAAAAGTTTATCACAGTTGGAATGTCGGTCTTAACTTCCATGATTGGATTATTTTGGCGCCTTTCTTTCATTTAGTTGAAGGTGCGGTGCTGATTTCCATTTCTATCACCAGTCCGGAGTGCTTTGTTTTTTTGAAGACAGATTATACAACCATTTGACGAGTGGTACTCATTTATCAACCTCTGAAGTAAGAAGGGTGAGTGACCATAACCGGGGTTTCAACTCTGGACCTATCGTTTCTGAGTTCGATGTTCTACCGATTGTGCAACCCCGGTAGTGGCAAATTTATTCCTAGTTCAAGTGAATTCTTGAATAAGGCAATGTTTGATCTCGAGCGGAATCGGATCCGGTGTTCGAAGCAGACCTCTTAGACACTGTGGCACCACGCCACATAAACTGGAAACAAACTGTCCACTCCTTTCATTTAAATGCATAGGAAGAAAGCAATTCTTTTGAAAGCGGGCATTTAGGTTTGGTTACTTCTCTTCCGCAGACCATTGTGAATCAATAAAAATCCACGTGAAGCTCATATGATTATCGTGTTTCTGTCGTTGAAGATCAATGACCAAGTACTATTGAAAAAGTATGAATAGACTTTGGTAGTTCAAGAGCAAACCGTAACTACGTTACCAATCAGAACTGACCAACAGCAGTAGTGAAAATAAGTACTTGCCTGGAAAAAAAGATACGAGTCAAGAAAGCTGCAGTCTCAGGGCAGTGAACCAAGCAGCTACATCTCGTTGTCCTGACCATATAACTTTACTCAAGCGAGTTTAGTTACGCCGGTGCACAATTCATCTTAACTATCTCAGTGTTTATTGATCATTGAAATCAGTAGCCAGTGACAAGAAATCGGCAGTGCAATACAGTCAGACCATTTCGAAAATATTCGCAAGTGGAGCACTGACCCTTTAAGTTCTTAAAGATTCCAGAGACGCCTACTGTTTCAGAGGTTATTCAGCGTTATCAAGATTAGTAAACGTGCAACAGGCATATGCTCATCAGGCGAAATTTCGAAAACGCTGCGTTATCGGTCATTCGCCTCTGATCCAGGTCCTGACTGGATTCAACATGCGAACAATCTCAAACCAGAACCAAGTACAAGTAGCAAACCGGAAACAAATGCGGTGTCGTTTTGATATAACATGTTGTCAAGGAACACACGCGGTGGAACCCGGCCAGCGCACTACCCAACAAACCAACCATATACCATGAAATCTTTACATCATATCTCCAACTTTTCAAAAATGGATAAATTTTTATTTAAAACAAAAAATTCATGATCACAGACTAATTCTAAGCTTTTTCAAAACAAATCGAAAAACTTCAGGTACTCTTGATTTAATAACCAAATTATCGCCATGGCTGATTTTTGGTATTTCGATCTAAACAAGAAAACCAGGCATATAATAGAATGACAGGAAACAGCATTTTACGTACTTTGGAAGCGTGAAGTAACATCGGCATATGTCGTGCCTTCGAAGCACGGATTCCAAGTCGTTGAAGAGTAACGCTGGAAAGACGCTAAAAGTACTAAGGAATAAAATAAATACCGCGGATTTCATACCTGAGGGATGTGCCTCAAGAAACTGGAGTACTTGTGATCGCCCATAATTGGGCAGTTGATACCGTAACCGAGATGACACCTAATCTGGTGCTTTATCCCTAAAAATTTTGCGTCATAGCTGGACTGTATTTTAACGTAGAAAGTACGAAACTAAATAGGGAACAGTATTTTACTAACTATGGTAATACTGTTGCAGCTTACGGAGATTACTGAAAGGAAAAACAATCAAATTTGAGGTTAAATTCCGGCTTCAAGTCTTCGCCCTTTCTGACTCGTGAAATAATCTCGTGATGGTGAGCGATCAAACGGCTTAGCCCGCCTTGAGGGTACCAGTCGACGATCATCTCGAGTTGGTGAGCCGAGCTGTGATTCTCCCCCGCCGTAACTTCTTTATGGGGCAAATAACATCTCCAACGCACCCCTTTCCAGTCTCATAACCGTGTTGGAGATGTAGTCGCGAAATTCTCAACATTCTTTCCTTCATGTCTCTCAGTGACGGATAGTTGGCACTAGTCGGCTTTAATGAGTGAACACCTTTCACAGCAATAAAACATTGACAATAGGTCGGTAGAGCTGAAATGTGCGGGAGCGAGTTTTTGTCTAATGCTGCCGAGGAGGATGTCCTTGATGGAATCGAACACACGCCAACCGGCCCTCTTTCTCCACTGAATCTCTCAAGTATCATCATGCCGCATGCCGATCTCTTATCCAAATTAAATCCATTTATCGACTTCTTCAATCTTTTCGCCGTTTAATATTGCCTACGCTTTCGGCTGTATCTTGGTTTTTAAGAGATCCTCAATCCAACCTCTGCACTTCTTCTCTCTACCTCTTTTAGCATGTCTTGTGGCCAGCTGGCGTTTTCCACAAGGAACACTACGTCATCGGCAAACTTAGTGTGACTTAACTGTTCATAACTGATGTTACTCCAACCTCTCCTGCTCATCCTCTGAAACATCAAACAAGCAGTGAGGAATTATGGGAAGTGATGGTGTTTTCTTGTTTCACGTCCTGGTCTATAGGAATCGGGAGGGGTGTCGAACAGCGTAATATCTGTGAGGCAGCCAGAGTTCACTTCCTTTAACAAATAGATGTAACAGGTGTCCATGCCCTTTTGTAGCAGTGCAATCCACACTGCATTGTATTAGACTGTTGAACGCTTTCTCGTGGTTGATGAAACAGATGTTATTGTGTCGCACGCTCGAGAAATTAGGTTAAATATATTCAGTTTCCTATGGTTACAATAATAGCAATTTATCGGCATTTGGTTAATAAATACGTAGAAACTACGTTAAAGTTTATGCGAAGTTCCAACTGTACAACAACGGTTTTTGTTGGCGTTCTAAAAACAAGCGTCTCGTTCAAGTTTTTTTGGCGTTCGTTCCTAGGCAACTAGAAGCAAGGGGACAGTGATAAATTCTGGGAGTAAAACCCATATTTTGATATTTACACGGTGGCATACATGGCTAACAGATTTTGAAGCATCAATAATAAAGAAAATTAGGTTCAAGTTTACTGCTATGGCAGGTTGGAACTATTGACCTTTCAGAAAGTCTACAGAAGTGCTTCACGAAACAAAACGAGAGAAGACATACACGTACAGGTTGCTCCAGCGAACAGAATGGATCTAGCAGTGCAGATTTACAACTTCACAGTGCACCGGCTTGCTTAAATGCCCCCACCCACTACAGCTAGGAGCAAAGGAGTCGTACAGTACATCGCAAAAATCACTAACTAAATAAGTTGATCTCAGTGTTAACGGCAGCGCTATGCATCAGTTATAATTTCAGGAAAATAGTAAATATACACAGTATGTACATATCAGCACAAGCTGAAACATGCAAAAAAATGTAACGAAATATTCCATGTAATGAGCAACAAGGAAACAACAAAGTAAAGTCATTATAGCCGTATTTACCTGTAGTTGACGTGCATTCCACGAATGCACAGCCACTGCCTTCGCTGACCACTTGATACTCAGTTTCAGCAAAATATGACTTTACATGGCCGGCAACCTTTCTACTCCGTTGTTCCGTTGATACTGACACCGGAACCATCTGAAATTCAGAAATCCCAAAATGAACTTACTTTCAAATTCGCACAGTAAACCTTAAACCTGTTAGATACTTCTCTCTCGGCCAGAGGTATCCTGATGATCCCTAAAACATAATCGGACATAAACTCTGAAAACTCACCACCATCTGATTTTATTGCAATATATTCTCCCGCTACAACAGAGCACGTATAACTTATGAAGGTAATTCCGATGAATCGTTAAGAACAGTATTATTTTCGATCGAACGGGTAACGAAACACCAATAAAACAAGTCTCTAATTAACCCTTTAGGTTCATTTCAGGCCTTTAATTACTGGACTGAAAAGATTATTCTTATTAGTAAAAGAACATCATTCCATCTTCTAGCATTTATCTGCAACGGATAGCGGATTAACGATTACAGTACTATTGCGAGTATGCACGCATCGGAATAGCTCAATTATTAATATTACCAGAGCTGCTTGGACTAAATAGACTCATTATGTCGTAACTTCTAGAATTAAAGGACAGAGTCACCTGCCGTGAAATGACTTGTTTCAGTCATTCTTTACGGCCATATTGGTCCAAATTACCTATGAATGGTATCTTAAACCTAAACTGATCATCGGTTC